GTGTGAGGGTGGGCTTAGGGTTTAGGGTGTAGAGGGTTGCAAATATTACACGGTTTACTTAGCCTGCGCTGGCAAAGGGAAGCTGGAAATTTGAGGTGCTTGCGAGGTAACTTAGGGTTTAGGGTTTAGGGTTTAGGGTTTAGGGTTTAGGGTTTAGGGTTTAGGGTTTAGGGTTTAGGGTTTAGGGTTTAGGGTTTAGGGTTTAGGGTTTAGGGTTTAGGGTGAACCCCCCCTCTTTTTGAACCCCGTGAAAGGTTCGAAGCGGCCCGGTAGATCACCGCCTGCACGGGGTGGGTAAAGTTCAGAAGTAATTGCTGTGTTCGACTGTTCAGGGTCCAAAAAGGCTTTAACAAAAAGAGAGCTTATGGCACTTTTAGTCGAGACGCGCCTGGTGGCTCGAATCCCCTTGCCGTCACGTCAGCACGCTCCTGGAATGCTTGGGAGGCCGGTAGTGATTTTCAGGACCTGCAAATTCCAAAGCCGTTCTTAGCAGGGAACAAAAACCTCTTAAATTTAGTGGGCCTGGGCTATTTGATGTGGCTGGTTCTGGTGAATGAAAAGAGTTTGCGAGCACCTTGACAGGCGGCCTCCCGTCTCCTACTTCCCCTGGGTCCAGTGCGACCAAGCCCGAAAAGACACGACCCGAAAATTTCGAAAGCCCTCAGCGCACAAGTCCAAACATCCCTACCCTTGAAGTTCGCTGTTGACGGATCCGGGACTCAAAACTGACAACTCTGCACGTATCTGTTGGGCTGGGAGAGGGCCGGGATGTGGGGAAAGTTGCGCAAGGATCATCGGGGGAGCGGGGTGCTGCAAACATCCCAAGATCTCACCCTCAAACCTCCAGGGTGGGAGTAGCTCCCTGAACCCAAAACCATAATCACGAGTCTTACTGACTTGTCACGATACTTCGACGGCCTGCTACCAGTAGGCTTTAGGGACTTAGGGACTGAAGTTTCGAGAGCAGATTGATTTCGTTCTGATCCTGTGTGGTCCATGCTTGTCCCAGTTACCAAACACATCGCGAGCTGCCATCGTTAGTTAGTCCGTGTTGCAGGGGTTGCAGCCGCAGTTAGTTGCGGTAGCCGTGGAAGGACAGCGCACCAGAAAAGATCTCCATCAATGTCGAGGTAGGGTGCTGGGGAATTCAGGTTGCCCACATGCAGCAGACCTCCACCAATGTGTAGAGATGCAAGGGGCCTTTGAGCTTCACTAGGTGACTTCCCTAGAGTACGGCAGATTGGGAAATGCGGGTCCCCAGGGCTGGGACAATGATGTTCAGCATCCCCCTCTTGTGATGTCCATCTCATGATTCATAAAACCAAGGAATCTGGAGTCAGATTCTTAGTGCCATCTAGGCTGTTGTCCTGAGCTTCTGTTCATAAGCAGAACACGATGCTACCGGAAGGACGCCGCAGCACCAGCGAAGGTCTCTGCGGTCGTCGAGGCCTTGCTGGGACAGTGAGTTTTATGTGCGTCCTTCAAGTATCGTGCCAAAGCAAAGCCAACAAGCACGAAATGACCGCCGCGGGGTCGAATGTATTGCATATCCCTCAAGTTGTAGTTGGCCGGTGTTGCTGCGATTGCAGCCTCAGTTGCGGTAGCCGTGGAAGGACGGCACACCAGAAGAGATCTCCGTCAACGTCGAGGTAGGGTGCTGGGTTTCGAGACCCCCTCTTGTGCTGAATGAATGTAGCTGTAAGATAGGTGTTTCTGGTCAAAGGCGTCAGATTATTTGTGCCAGATAGACTCTTGTCACTTGCTTGAGCCTTCTTGTCTGAGTTTCTGTTTGAAAGAAACCACGCTACGGGAAGGACGCCGCAGCACCAGCGAAGGTCTCTGCGGTCGTCGAGGCCTTGCTGGGACAGTGAGTTTTATGTGCGTCCTTCAAGTATCGTGCCAAAGCAAAGCCAACAAGCACGAAATGACCGCCGCGGGGTCGAATGTATTGCATATCCCTCAAGTTGTAGTTGGCCGGTGTTGCTGCGATTGCAGCCTCAGTTGCGGTAGCCGTGGAAGGACGGCACACCAGAAGAGATCTCCGTCAACGTCGAGGTAGGGTGCTGGGTTTCGAGACCCCCTCTTGTGCTGAATGAATGTAGCTGTAAGATAGGTGTTTCTGGTCAAAGGCGTCAGATTATTTGTGCCAGATAGACTCTTGTCACTTGCTTGAGCCTTCTTGTCTGAGTTTCTGTTTGAAAGAAACCACGCTACGGGAAGGACGCCGCAGCACCAGCGAAGGTCTCTGCGGTCGTCGAGGCCTTGCTGGGACAGTGAGTTTTATGTGCGTCCTTCAAGTATCGTGCCAAAGCAAAGCCAACAAGCACGAAATGACCGCCGCGGGGTCGAATGTATTGCATATCCCTCAAGTTGTAGTTGGCCGGTGTTGCTGCGATTGCAGCCTCAGTTGCGGTAGCCGTGGAAGGACAGCACACCAGAAGAGACCTCCGTCAACGTCGAGGTAGCGTGCTGGGTTTCGAGATTCCCTCTTGTGCTGAATGTAGCTGTAAGATAGATGTTTCTGGTCAAAGGCGTCAGATCATTTGTGCCAGATAGACTCTTATCCTTTGCTTGAGCCTCCTTGCCTGAGTTTCTGTTTGAAAGAAGCCATGCTACGGGAAGGACGCCGCAGCACCAGCGAAGGTCTCTGCGGTCGTCGAGGCCTTGCTGGGACAGTGAGTTTTGTGTGCGTCCTTCAAGTATCGTGCCAAGGCAAAGCCAACAAGCCCGAAATGGCCGCCGCGGATTCGATTGTATACATATCCCTCAAAGGATGCCGCAGCACCAGCGAAGGTCTCTGCGGTCGTCGAGGCCTTGCTGGGACAGTGAGTTTTGTGTGCGTCCTTCAAGTATCGTGCCAAAGCAAAGCCAACAAGCCCGAAATGGCCGCCGCGGGTTCGAGTGTATACATATCCCTCAAGTTGTAGTTGTCCGGTGTTGCTGCGATTGCAGCCTCAGTTGCGGTAGCCGTGGAAGGACGGCACACCAGAAGACTCCGTCAACGTCGAGGTAGGGTGCTGGGTTTCGGGTTGCCTACGTGAAGCAGGCAGCAGCAAATTGTAGAGATGCAAGGGTTTCGGGTTTCGTTAGATTTCACTAGCAGGCACAGCAGTGTTGGACATTGATGTTCAGCGTCCCCTCTTTGTTTTGCTGAATCAATGTAGCTGTAACACCGATGTTCATTTTCTGGTCAAAGCTGGCAGCTCAGCTCATTTGTGCCAGATAGACTCTTGTCCTTGGCTAGAGCCTCCTTTCCTGAGATTCTCTTTGAAAGAAACCACGCTGCGGGAAGGACGCCGCAGCACCAGCGAAGGTCTCTGCGGTCGTCGAGGCCTTGCTGGGACAGTGAGTTTTGTGTGCGTCCTTCAAGTATAGTGCCAAAGCAAAGCCAACAAGCACGAAATGGTGACCATGAGCTGCATGAAAGCGAAAACAGTCGAAACTGTACATCCCTGCAGTTGTATTTGGTCGGCATTACAGCGGATGCAGCCGCAGTTGCGGTAGCCACGAAAGGAGACTACACCAGAAGAGATCCCCATCAATGTCGAGGCAGGGTGCCGGCTTCAGTTGTCGCGCCCTCTTCTTCGGCTTGAGCACGGGGTGTAGGGTTCAGAGTCTAGGGTTAAAGGAAGAGGCCGATCATTTCCAACCGTGCTCTGGGGTTTCGACTCTCTATGTCCATACCGGTCCACACCCTAAACCCTAAACCCTAAACCCTAAACCCTAAACCCTAAACCCTAAACCCTAAACCCTAAACCCTAAACCCTAAGCCGCCTAAACCCTAAACCGCCTAAACCCTAAACCGCCTAAACCCTAAACCCTAAACCCCCAAACCCTAAACGGCCTGTAATCCTCAGCACAGAGCTGACTCGAAGCATGTGAGCGCAAGGGCGCCGCGCCCGACAAGATCCCTGCCGACGCCGAGGCCTTCCGCCTGTGTGCGGCTCACTGCACTTGGGGTTTAGGGTTTAGGGTTTAGGGTTTAGGGTTTAGGGTTTAGGGTTTAGGGTTAGGGTTTAGGGTTTCTGTCACCCACTGCCCCATGCCGCCAGGCCATGCGAACCCACCATGCCAACCCACACATGAGACTCAATGCCAAGCAGCTGCAGGTGCTCATATCTTCGGACGGCGAGCAGTCTGCTGTGACATGAAAAGAGGGTTTAGGGAGGGTTTAGGGTTTAGGGTTTAGGGTTTAGGGTTTAGGGTTTAGGGTTTAGGGTTTAGGGTTTTTTTCCTTTCCCTGACATGGTCCAAGCAGTCGCTGAGCCCCCGCGCCCACTTTCTTTCTCAAACCTACCTACACCTCTACCATTCCCACCAGCTGTAGCCGGCTAAAGCAAGCCTTCAACCTGAAACGTGACGGTTGCTGTGCCACCTCGTTGGCTTGTTTTAGGTTTAAGATGTAGGGATAGGGTTTAGGGTTGAGGGTTTAGGATTTAGGATTTAGGGTTTAGGGTTTGTCCAGCAAGCACTCGCTAGCCCTAGCTGGCCCACTGCTGGAAAGCTTTTTGAAACCTTGTAGCGAGCGTGTGATCACTCGTTTGCACTTGAGGGCAGCAGACATCCACAAGCCAGACCGATCCCCGGGACCCCCCCCCCACCCCCATCCAGTTTAGAGAGGTCGTGCAGCGCGGTCGTCTCGGGTTTCGGATTTGGGGTTCAGGGTTTATTGGGTTTAGGGCAAGGGGCCGTCGCATGTTTCCCTGTTTTTGTTCGCCTTGGCAGCCAGCGAGTCAGAGAAGTGTAAGAGCCCGTGCTTTAGGCAGCAGCTGAGACGCATGGGCCCCCACTTCGGGCAACAAGTGCATCTTAAACCCTAAGTCCTAAGCCCTAAAACCTAAACCCTAAACCCTAAACCCTAAACTCTAAAACCCTAAAACCCTCAACCCTAAACCCTAAACCCTAATGCTCCCGCAGGTGGGTGCCAAGTAGCGACACGTCACTCGCCACTAAAACCACTCATCGGGCACTTTGCCATCGGCCCTTCCTTTGCCGTTGCAATGGCGTTGGTGCAGGCCCCGAAACCCCTAAACCCCTAAACCCCTAAACCCCTAAACCCCTAAACCCCTAAACCCCTAAACCCTCAAACCCCCAAAGCCCCCAAGCCCCTAAAGCCCCTAAAGCCCCTAAGCCCCTAAGCCCCTAAAGCCCTAAGCTGCTAGGCCTGTATTCTCCTTCAAGTTCATCGCCCCACCAACCCCCGAAGCAAAGTTCGGGTACCTGTCCGAGAGCCCATGGCATGACTGTAAGAGGGTTTAGGGTTTAGGGTTTACTTAAACCAGTATCCTTTCAGTGACGGCAAAAGCTTATGAAGTTGTGATCTTCAAAAGGGGGTATGAACAGACAGTTGGATTTGGGGCTTAGGGCTTGGGGGTGCCAACTCCAACTCCTGAAAGACCGCTGAGTGCGGGCCTCCTTAAGCCTGAAGCCAGAGTTCTTAGACACTGCTGCAACGCATACGCGACATGGTTAACAAGGAGCTCCACCATTGTGGAAAGATCGAAGACGAAACGCGACACAAGCAGCCCACCATTCAAACACCCGTTCTAAACCGAACTGGTCCTAAACCCTGAACTTGCAAAGCCAAGCCTCCGAAGCCCCCAAACCCTAAACCCCTCTAAGAATCCTAAAAACTTTTTGCAGGTGCCAAACTTGGAGGTGCGGGGCCAGTCTCAACGTTGGTTGGGTTGAAGGTCTGGAATAAAAAGGGTTTAGGGTTGAGGGTTGAGGGCTTAGGGTTTAGGGTTTAGCCGTCTTCGGGTTAATGTAGGGCTTCGGGCCAGGCCTTGGGAGTCTTAAGCAGTGCTGCCAAAATCCCTGCATTCCCTACGAAGCAACAGCAAGTTTTGGGATGGGAAGCTGTTCATCATCATCATCATCATCGTCATTGTTCATCATCATCATCATCATCATCATCATCATCATCGTCATCATCACCATCACCATCACCATCACCATCACCATCAGCATCATCACCATCATCATCATCATCACCATCATCATCACCATCATCATCATCATCATCATTGTCGACATCGTCATCGTCATCGATGTGGTTATTGTTCTTGTTGTTGTTCTTGTTGCTGCTGCTGTTTTGCTGTTATTGTTGCTCCTGTTGCTGGCTCATTTTTGCTCACCGAAGAAATGGATGGGCCACCTCGAGTCTCACGGCCTGTGGCCGGCTGAGACTTTTTCGTTTTCGCGTTCAGGGCGTATTGAATTGTGGGGGAGGGTTGAGGATGCGTTGCATGTAGTTTGCGGGTACGTCCATGGTACCACACCCAGGTAAGGAGCCCAAACAACAACGAAGCCAGCTTTGAAAGAAGCCATCGCCCCCTAAACCCTAAACCCTAAGACCCTAAACTCTAAACCCTGAACCCTTGAACCCTAAACCCCAAACCCCAAACCCCAAACCCCAAACCCCAAACCCCAAACCCCAAACCCCAAACCCCAAACCCCAAACCCCAAACCCCAAACCCTAAACCCTAAACCCTAAACCCTAAACCCTAAGCCCTAAACCCCAAACCCTAAACCCTAAACCCGCCGCACGCGCCCCAGGAGTTTTATCAGTTTATCTCGGAGCGGCCGGCAGGCGTCACCTTCGAGGAGCCCCGACCCCAACCTGCTGCCCCAAGTCTGCTGCGTTCGAAGTAAAAGGAAGAGGAATAAGCATACGAAGAATAAGAAGAGCAATGGGGATAGCGAAAACAAGAAAAATGGAAGAACAAGGAGAAGAATCATGAAGAGTCGAAGAATACTGAGAAAGGGCCTGACGTGCGAGGTTTTTTGAGGGTTCAGGATCCGCACCCCAATCCCCGCGGCGGGCTCGCTCGCTCTCTCGAAGCTGAGCAACAGGGCCCGAACCTAAAGCGCTGAAATGGCCCTGCACCTTCTGAGGCCTACAGGCCCTCAAGCCCTATGAAAAACAAATCCTGAGACTCGCTGGGACGTTTACTTCCTTATCTTTTGAAAACCCTAGATCCTAACCTCAACCCTAACCCTAAACCCTGAAGCCCTGTGACTCTGTGACTCCGTACCGTAAGGCTAAGTTGGTTGCTCAGGAGCTGGCGCGCGCTGGCTGGCCCGACAAGACGCAGGCGACGCATCTCGCCCGGCGGCTGCACGTAGTTGGTGGTGGAAGTCATCAGTAGAAGTTTTACACGCTGGGGGGGTGGGGGTTACTCCGGCTCTACCGTCTTTAATGACTTCGGTGTGCACTCACTATGAGGCGCTTAGTTTCGTTCCTGCACCCAGAGTGAAGGAGGGTTTGGTGGCGAACTGCTCCTACAGTCCTACAGCCCCTCTAGGAAGATCAGTGGCAACGGGCCTTCCAAGGAACACGCTTTTCCACCCTATGCTGCGCATGTGGGCAGTTCTCTAAAATGATCCCCTTTTCAAGAACAACCTCAAAACCAGTACCTTAAGGACCATAACCAGGAACTTCCCACATGTGGCTATAGCAACCTTACCCAAAGAGGATTCAGGTCGCAGTGTCCAAGCCTGGCAAAGTCGAATTCAGCATTGTGGCTTGGGGTTTCGGGTTCCTTCCTGTAAGGGGCCCATGAACACGAGTGGATTCTAAAAGGGGCACAAGAGAACAGTACTATAGGGGCCTTAAGAATTAGAATAGGCTTTGGGGGGTTATTGTAGTAACGAACCCTAGACCAACCCTCAACCCTAAACCCTAAACCCTCAACCCTAAACCTTAAACCTTAAGCCCTATACCCTAAACCCTAAACCCTAAACCCTAAACCCTAAACCCTGCCTGTTGCAGCCCTGAGTCCCTGGTGCTGTTCCCGACCCAGGCCAACGCGCTGCTGACGCAGAGCCGCCTCGACATCATCTCGGCGCGCAGTTGCCCCCGCCCAAACTCCCAGAAGCCTCAAAAGGGGGTTTCGGGTTTAGGGTCCCAGAAGCCTCAAAAGGGGTTTAGGGTTTAGGGGTAGTTTAGGGTTTAGGGTTCAGGGTTTAGGGCGTAGGATTTGGGAGGTTTAGGGTTTAGGAGGTTTATAGGGTTTGGAGGGTGTATAGGGCTCATCGGTTGTAAGGTTCCCAAGCAAGAAAGGCCGTAATTGATCCTTAGACCGCAGAAAGCCTACAAAGCCTACGGGGTTTAGGGTTTAGTTTTTAGGGTTTAGGGTTTCGGGTTTGGGGTTTAGGGTTTAGGGTTTACCCCCTGCAGGCAGGAGACAAGATCGTGCTGAAAGCCGTTGCTCCGCAGCTGGCTTTGAAGCTGAGTCGCCTGGAGGCAACGACCAGGCGCGGGGGACCACACAATTGAGGCTTACTCCTACTTCACCCCCCATAACGCTGGGTCTTAATCACCCCCCGGAACCTTTTAGATCTCTCTCGGCCCAGAACCTTAAAGCACAAACAGCTCAGCCCCTGTCCCGTGAGATGTAGCCCTTAAAGCCTGAAATCCGGAAGCCCTAGACCCTAAACCCTAAAACCCTAAAACCCTAAAACCCTAAAACCCTAAAACCCTAAAACCCTAAACCCCTGAAACCCTGAAACCCTGAAACCCTAAAACCCTGAAACCCTGAAATCCTGAAACCCTACACCCTTAAATCCCCAAATCCCCAAATCACCAGATCCCCAAGCCAAACCCTCATCATCCTTGGTCCAGACTCCGACTTAACGGAATGACACAGGCTTGACAAGGGAGGGGGGGGGGGGTTCTAATACTACGCATGGCTTAAGAAACCCCCCAAAAAATATGAAAGCCTTCTTCCTTAGAAGGGTAATAGAAGGAATTGTGATTTTCATTTTTGGAGGGGGGGGGGCTTGAGAGTTTAGGGCTTTAAGGCTTTTGTGTTTCGGGGTTTAGGGTGTAGGGCTTGGGCTTTAGGGTTTTGGGCTCGGGTTTTTAGTCGGGGCTATAGGGGAGAGCTATAGCTATAGCTGTGCCTCAGGATCCCTAAGTCCTAAGTCCTATAACTTATCGCCGCCCGTGGGCCTTGAAGTAGCCTCATCCTCAAACCCTTACACCCCCCCCCAACCCAGAAGAGGGTAGTTCTAAATTAGTTTGGGTCCCTATATCGTATGGCACCTTCAAACAAGGGGCACCCCAGAAACCGACCCGATTTGCAGAACCCTAGACCCTAGACCCTAGACCCTAGACCCTAGACCCTAGACCCTAGACCCTAAACCCTAAACCCTAAACCCTAAACCCTAAACCCAAGAAGAGGAGCGTGTACCAGCAGATCGAAAAAGCTGGGGACCGCGGTGCATGGAGCAAGAGTCTGAAGGATCCTCGGACCATGGCCAAGCAGGGTTTAGAGGTTAGGGTTCACGGTTTAGGGTTTAGGGTTTCGGGTTTAGGGTTTCGGGTTTAAGGTTCAGGGTTTAGGGTTTGGGGTTTGAGGTTTGGGGTCTTAGGCTGAGGGTTTGGGCTTTGTTTTTTTTTGGCTATGTGGTTTGGTGGGGGTTCAACCCTTTTGGTTTTGGAGGTTGCTTTTCATACCAGTGGTTTGTTTTTGCCATGTTGGGTTCGGGGTTCAGCGTTGAAGCCTCAGTCGTTTCGTTGTCACGCCATGCTGAGGCTGTTTTCTTGTTGCCGTGTTGGGGTATTTGTTCAGGGTTTCGGGTAGTGCTTTGCTTTCCTTACGGTTCATAGCTTGGGGTTTAGGGTTGCGTGTCCTGCTATCTTGGGGGAAGGGCTCAGGGAAGCCAAGGATCAGACCAAGCTTCAGCAGCACACGATCACCAAGGCCCTCTGTGCGGCCCCGAACCCTGAAACCCCAGCACTCCAAACCCCGAAGCCGACCCTGAGGCTAGAATCATTTTCTTCTTCTACCACCACCTACGACTACGACTGCTGCTAGTATTTCTGCCTATTACCACCATTACCACCATTATCACCATCACCGCCAGTACCACCATCACCACCATTGCCACCATTACTATACCACCACCACCACCACCATCATCACCACCACCACCATCATCACCACCACCATCATCACCACCACCACCATTAACACCACCATTACCACCACCACCGCCACGACGACGACCACCACCACCACCACCACCACCACCACCACCACCACCACCACCACCACCACCACCACCACCACCAAGCACCACCAAGCACCACCAAGCACCACCAAGCACCAGGACGACTACGACGGCGACTACGGCTACTGTTCTTCTTATCTGTGTTACAACTGTTATTGTCTTGCTGTTGTTATCGTTTGGGGTATGAACGGCGACCAACGCCAACAATTCAGAATCCATGCAGAGCTTGTCGCCCGACACTTCGGGCGTTTTAGGGCTTCTGAGCTGGGCTTCAAGATTGCAGCGCGGCTCTTGCGCAAGTCTCTGCAAGTCTACAGTATCCGCAGCATCTAGCATGTCAACCTGCATTTGCTTCGCCCCGCTCGGCGCAGGCGATCAAGGAGTTGCTAAAGCAGCAGCTCATTAAAGAAGTGAAGTCGGCCGCTTTCCTGCGATTTTACGAAGAAGGAGGAGTTCGACTGAGATCTTCCGATGCCCAGAACCAGAAACCCACCGAACATTTAATCAGGTGAGAGATTTGGGCCTAAAACGCCCGGACCTGATCTCATCCCTAAACCCTATAATCCCTAAACCCTAAACCCTAATCCCAGCCTTGAAGCCGGCTGAATGTCCAGAAGCAACTACTCAACAAAGGGTGGAAAACACATAATGTTTCCCCCTTTCCTAAATTAGAAGACTCCAAGGGTAGTTCCATGGGCTCTTAGTACGCCTGTGAAGGGTTCTGAAGCATGAGCCCTACAGGGCATATAAGGGGCCCCTCTTTTGAGGGCCTATGCTAAGGGACCATGAAAACCTACGTACCCTAAGATTAACATATTGGCCGGAGAGAATTACGAATAATTTTCCCTTATGGCCCCTTCATAACTGTACTAGAATAAACCCTAACCCCCCCCAAAAAACCCTATTCTAACTCGTAAGATTCGTCGCCGTGAAGCCGCAGTGGAGGTCCTATAACCCAAGTAGCCCCTAAATATCCCCCCAAAGAACCCCTGCCCTAAGGCCCCTCAGAAGGGCACCTCCTTCAGTCGCCTTGATGCCTGCAACCCTATGGATCGGAATAAATACTAATCATATTCCCTTGTGGTTCCTTAATTAAAGCCCCCGTATTCTAACTCCTAAGATTAGGGTTTTTTCGCGTTCAAAACCCCCCTGAATACTAGAATAACCCCCCAAAAGAACCCCTATTCTAACTAACTCCTAAGATCGCCTTGATGCCTGGAGGTCCAGAACCGGAACCGGAAGGTCTTCATGCTCATCGACCTCGAGCCGAGCTTGGAAGTCTCCGGAGGCCGCTCCGTTCAGGGTTCAGGGTCTGAGGTTTAGGGTTCAGGGTCTGAGTTTAGGGTTTAGGGTTTAGGGTTTAGGGTTTAGGGTTTAGGGTTTAGGGTTTAGGGTTTAGGGTTTAGGGTTTAGGGTTTTAGGAACCCTTACGGGCATCTATTTTTTGGATCCTCCCAGGGGTCCGGGCTTGGGCTTGGCTTGGGGACTTGTGGTCACGAGGCCGGAGGCTGTTCTCTTGATCTTGCCTGTCGTTTGAAAGGTCCATCAAGTGCGAGCTGCCCCTACACCCTAAACCCAAAACCCTAAACCCTGTCATTTGTGACCATGCCTATCTTCGGAAGCTACTGCGTGTCGTCAGGCACATGGTACAAAGACGGCGAGTTCAACTACAGCTGGGTTGATCCCCTGCCGTTTTAATGTTGAAAACCTTTTCAGGGCTTAAAAGGGTTCAGGGCTCTGGGTTTAGGGTTAAGGTTTTCAAGGCTTCAGGGTTTTAGGGCTTAGAAGGGTTTAGGGTTAATATTTTTAGGCCTGTAGGGTTTTCGGGCTGAAAACGGTGTAGGGCGGCCATACTGCACGGTTGCAGGAAGCTTCGTGACTTCATTGCAGACCTTCCGGTGAAACGCCTTGCTGTTTGGCAGCCTCAAGCCCCATTCAATTCCGAGAGCCTAAGCCCTAAACCCTAAACCTTAAACCCTAAACCCTTAAACCCTAAATCAGCTCAGGAGACTTTGCGGGAGTACTGTCTCGCCTTCATGGACAAGAGCCCCGAGCGTCCCGTTTCGCAGGCGGATCTCTATCGCTTTGACCCTCGGCAACAGAGCAATATGAGAAAGAACACGTGGCTAGCGGCTAGCAATAAATCTCGACTGTGCCCTCTCAAGAACTGCGAAGCGCTGGGACACTTCCCGACCGAAGGTGACGTAGTGGCAGGTTGGGGCCGAGGTTTGTCAGGGTCAGGCTCGGGGGATGCGCGCTCTGGCATCTGAAATACTCCGTCCTCAGCCATCCGATGCCACCACCCCTGGGAGGATCCAAAAAGTAGAGCCCCCAAATAGTACCCTACACGAGTAGTGGGTCATTCTTCGGAACCCTTAAGGGTACCGACCCTAAACCCTAAACCCTAAGCCCTAAACCCTAAACCCTAAACTACTACCCCCCTCCAAGCCCTAAAACTTAACCCTAACTAAGCCCTAAACCCCAAACCCCAAACCCCAAACCCCAAACCCCAAACCCCAAACCCCAAACCCCAAACCCCAAACCCCAAACCCCAAACCCCAAACCCCAAACCCCAAACCCCAAACCCCAAACCCTCAACCCCAAGCCCTAAACCCCAAACCCTAAACCCTAAATCTCCTTTTCTTTTTCTCTGCATGCTTTTAGAAGCCCAAGGTGATGCAGCATCCCGCGCCCCAGGTGCCCACCGAGGCCCTGGGGATGTTTCGGGCTTTAGGCTGTAGGGCTTAGGGGGGTTTCAGGTTTAAGGTGTAGGGTTTAAGGCTTAGGGTTTAGGGCTTAGGCTTTAGGGTGAGGGTTTCGGGTTTAGGGTTTAGGGTGCAGGGCTTAGGGGGCTTTAGGGCTTGAGGCCGAACAGCGAAAGCCTAAGCCTTGCATGGGAAGCTTCAATCCTTACGCCTTGCGACCCTACTTCTTCCTTAATAAATCGGGCTTAGGGTTTCGGGCTTAGGCTTTAGGGTTAGGGTTTCAGGTTTAGGGTTCCTTTTTCCTTAAATTCCTACACCCCAGCTGCAGTGCATAGAATTCTGTTGGGGATTTCGGGTTTCAGGCTTAGCTTCACACCCCCCAAGATTCCCCAGCTCCGTGGCTCAGGGCTTAGGTTTCTAAACCCTAAACTCTAAACCCGGCGTTTTCGCCCTTTCAGGCCCCCAATAGCCCAAACCATTCAGGAGGACATCCTCTGCATCATGAAGACCCTGGAGTTGGACGAGGTCTGGGGGTGAAAAAGGGTTAGGGGTTGAGGGGTTTAGGGGTTTGGGGGTTTAGGGGTTTAGGGGTTTTAGGGGTTTTAGGGGTTTTAGGGGTTTATGGGGCATAGTCGGGTTTAGGTTGGTCTAAACTACCACAATTACGTATCAGGTCCAGGTGCTTTCCCGACCTGACCTTGCCTCTTACTCTGAGAAAAGGCTTGCTGACAGATGGACATCTGAGGAGCCCCTACCTGATGCACCCGAGATGCCGCGAACAGAAACATTGCCAAGCTCCGCATGTTCTGGCAGATTTGTCAGTGGACCAACGTTCATAATCAGCCCATCTTCCCCTTTACTGGAAAGCAAAGCATGGCTTTTTACCAGTGAGGTGCTTTCACATGAGGGGGCATATCGGCACCTAGCACCGGGATCACAAGAGCAATCGCACGAAACATGGACGCAGAAGGAACACCAGCTCGATAGTTTGCGCAGGTTTAATTCGCTGATGCTGCAGCCCTTTTTTCAAGCCGGAAAGCGCAACCTGCATCATCAGGTTCAGCTTCTGGATTACCCTACAATTCCAATCCCTAAACCCTGAACCCCAAAGCCTAGTCGCCCTAATCACTAGACTGCACACGGTGTCTGACGCCAGGAGGTTTCCTCCATCGTCAGTGCAGAAGGACATCGGGTCTTCATGCGCCGGCGGCGAAGACGCTGGACAAGAAAAGATGTTGCGGTTGTTCTATAGATGTGGCTGACTTTCCCCGCGCGCCGATCGGTGCCAGCATTCAGTTTCGTTTACTCTTAACGTAAGAAGCCCTGGCAAGCACAGTTTGCGAATGGTACAAGCTATCTGACAGGGGACCCCTCATTTGAAGCAAAGAACTCAGCCTTACAAGCCCTCAGCGCTATTTATTATTCATGCCTACACCCTAAACGCTGTAATCCTGTCACCCAAAGCCCTTCACCCACCTCCGCTCCCGGACACCTAGGGGGGGGTACCCCCTAACCTCTAAACTCTAGAACCCTAAACTTTTCCCTCAGGAAACCTGGAGCCACTGGATATTTTCGCGGCACGCCTGCCGAACTTCTTGCAGGAGGCCAGGAGACGGAAGCTTCCAGGGCTTTCGGGTTTTGAGGGTTTAGGGTTGATTTAGGGCTTAGGGTTGATTTAGGGTTTAGGGTTGATTTAGGGTTACGGTTTGGGGTCTAAGGGCCCTAGTTAGATGGGTCCCGGGGTTCCTTCTTCGGCAGGGAGGCTATGATCAAGTCGATGGCGTGGACCCTTCACTCCGACAGGTGTCTTTCCAATAGCCTACTTACTTGACACCACCATCGCCGCTAGACCCCGGCAGCTTGCAATTGTAGTTTACTTGTATTCGAACCCCCGGACCCTCTCCCAAACCCCAAAACCCTTCAAACTCTTCTGTCAGGCAGAGGGAGAGGGCCGCCTGGTCGTGCCTTGCCTCTGCTGCCCGCTGCGGAACGAGTGCAAGGCGGCACGCAACGCGAGACCCTAAATCCCGAATTCCAAACTCCCCCTGATCCCGAGACCCAAACTGCGACCCGACGTTCATGGTAGGCTGGCGGCCGCGTCTGCCCGGAGAAGTGCGAGTTTCTCACAAGGCCACGATGCCTTCCAGGGCTTGAGGTTTCTTGCGGCTGTGGCCGCTTCCTCTTTCCGGGTGCTGGATGCACGAACTTCGCACGGCCAAGATTGGCAGGTTCCCAAAAAAGCTGCTAGCCCCCTCACTTAAGTGCGCAGAGTCCAGTTTTCTTGCGGGAGGTGGCTGCAGCCCCTGGAGGACCCTAGCAATGAGGACAGTGGGATCAGTGCTGGGAATCTGGGGCTCTTCTGGGTGTGTCTGTGGTAGTTTACATCTGCATAAATCAGGGGACCCGGGACTTAGGAAGAGGGTTTGCCCGAAGAACTACACACAAGTCTGGAGGCTTCTGTTTTCGGGCGCAAGCACCACCTTAGGACCTTCAATATCTCTGCCTGACTGTTTCAATCTTCGGCCCCTCTGTCGGGGTCCCAACCTCCGCCCTTCACTGCAGCAAAGCCGGTCGGCTTTGTGGAGTAGGGCAGGGCTTGGGGTTTGGGGATGTTCGTGACGGCTCTAAGGCTGCTGGCTTGAAGCTGCTGGCTCATGTGGTAGCTCCTGGCTCTGGGTTTGTCATGGCGAGTTTGGCCTTGATTGATAGTGGAAGAGTGAACCAAGCGACCCAAATGACCTGTGTCAACAGGATGTGCCCATGCCGGACTGGTGACGCTACCGGGAAAATGAGCTGCAATGTTGCCTGCGGTCCATGGCGGTCCGTTACTCGCCTTGCAGCCCCGCAGTCGTTGAGGAAGCGCCAGGTGCATCGGAGCCCTAGCCAGCGCTTAGAAGTCCGAAGAGTCACTAAACGAGCACTCCTGTAGGCTCATACTCGAACATGCAGTTGATAGCTGATCCATGCTGATCCTAGCAGTGTTTTTGGGGTTTCTGGCTCTCATGGCATGGCGGCGCATGATGGCTCTGCCGCGAGAGTCCCTGTAGTTCTCGAGAGCCCCGTAAACGCGGTGCTGCAGCGTTTTGACCAGCACGCGGATGGAACCCTTGAGCCTGTCTGGGAGGACCCAGATGCAACCCCGATTCGCTGCGTCGAGCGGCTGCTACTGGAGTCTGCAGCGAAGCGGCGACGACAAGAGGGTCAGGGCCCAGGCGAAAGCGGCCAGGAGCGCTTGCAGTTCTTGCGGGAGGCGCAGGAGACTGCCCTGGATGGGGTTCAGCGTGCCACCACGGCCGCGCAACTACTGGGTGCAGGTGCCACTGAGGGCGAGACCCAGTTCTTAGCGCTCCAGCGGGCCGCGCCCAAGCCACTGGACTTTACGCAGGTGATGCGACATGCCTCGGAGGTAGACGAGGCGGCCGAGGCCCATCGTCAGGAGCTCCTGGAAATCACATCAGCCCGACTGACCAACAGGGCTCTCCAGCTTTTCGCGGAGATGGAGGCGGCGTTGTCTTTCCTCGGCCAGCGATGGCATCTTCACTGCGTCGCCGGTCAATATGCCATCGAGCTGCGGCTGGGCGCGCTTTGATGTGAGAACAGTAGAGAACAGTCCTGTCATCCCCAAGCATCTGCCCAAACTTAACCCAGCTATACCATCTACATAGAAATACAGCAATACAAATATACAACTAAACAAATAAATATAAACATAAATATATCTATATATATATGTAGAGATACATATATATATAGATATTTTAACTCTGAATCCTAAGCCACTGCTTTTCCTGCAGAGCGAGGTGGACTGGCCGAGCTCGGCAACAGCGCCTTCTCTCCGCGAGACCACTAGTGCGGGTCACCAGCCACCCAAAGAAGGGCGCTGCTCGGTCAAATCTGTCCTAGGACATGTAGGAGTCAGGGTTGAGATCTCATGGCGCCTTTAGTTTCAGAAGGGTTTAGGGTTTAGGGTTTAGGGTTTAGGGTTTAGGGTTTAGGGTTTAGGGTTTAGGGTTTAGGGTTTAGGGTTTAGGGTTTAGGGTTTGGGGCGTGCGAAGGGGGGTTTTGTGGGTGTATTTGCTCCTAGCACAGAAGCAGAAGGATGCTCCCCGGGTTTCTCCTGGATCCTTAGGCGACGAGGGGGTGTATAAGAGAGGGGCCCTTAAGGATTGGAACAGGGTTTTGAGGCTTGTTGTAGTGTACTTGTATAGGGACCACAAGGGAATGCTATCAGTATTGATTCCGACCCATGTACCACCCACGCTTTTTGTGCCCTTTAAAGAATGCAAGGTTTGCCTCGGCTTCCCGGCAGAGCTCTCGCAGCCGCTCAGTGTCGCTGCGGGGGTGTGAGTGTCGGAACCTCTGGGCTACAAGACCCGCCCTCAACTCTGAACCTGAACCCTGAGCCCTGAGCCCTAAACCCTAAACCCTAAACCCTAGAACCCGAAACCCGACGTGTAAGCCCTACAAGGTCTCGTCTTCCCATGTCAAAGAGTTGGACAATCAGGAAAGGCCTCCGGTAGTTGAATCGAGGCCCACATCGTAGAAGGCCCCCACCTTAAACCCTAAACCTTCACACAACCTCCTCTCCACAAAAGGCTCTAGCTCCCTAAGCCGCCAGAGCTGTGAGGGTGCCACAAGGTTGTCCTGCCAAGCCCAAAACTTGAGCAATTTGAGATCTGAGACGAGAGAGCGGCCGCTGAGACTAAATATTTCAGGGGTTCTATACATGTTTCGTTTGCTTGTCAGCAAGCCCCACGTCCGGAGACCCTCAACATCCCTCAGCACTCCTCAACTAACCCTAAACTCCGAAACCCTAGCCCTTCAGCCCGAAACCCCGAAAAACCCCGAATGACCCAAACCCATCCCCAAAACCCAGTCGCTCGCAGCGAAGGCTCATCTACACCCGGATGCTCGGGCCTTCTTGGAAGCAGCTGTTGTTAGGTTCTGTTCAGGGTTTGGGGCTTAGGGTTTAAAGTTTCGGTATGGGGTTTAGGGTTGAGCTGATCCTGTTCCTTCGCTCTGGAACCAGAAGACAGCATACTCCTTGCGGCTGTGAATCAGGCTGTGAAGCTGTCCCAAACTCCCAAGAACCCCGAACCCCTAGAGCCTGGAGCAGTTCGAACAAGAAAGCTCCAAGACCATTCTCCCAAGAAAGGGCCAAAGCCGCAGCACCATCAGCGGCCAGTTCTCTAAGTGATTCTCCCTTCTTGGGTACCCTAAGTTTCAAAAGCCCGTGTCTTCATAGGTACCTAACAAATGCACCTTACTCCAGGAACACCCTAAACCCTTAACCCTAAACCCTAAACCCTAAACCAATGGAGGATGCGGCTGCTGGTGCGCCTGCGTGGCCTGGGCCGGCAGGGAAGGAGCCAGGCGGCCCCGGGGTGCTTCCCAGGGTTTAGGGTTTAGGGTTTAGGGTTTAGGGTTTAGGGTTTAGGTTTTAGGGTTTAGGGTTTAGGTTTTAGGGTTTAGGGTTTAGGGTTTACGGTTGGGAGCGAAATTCTGGGTTTGATACTTTTGTCGAAAAGGCATATACTGCGATGGACCTGAGGCTTAGTTTTCTCCTGATGCTTATCGTTCCTTCACGCTCATATGTCTTTAGTCTTTCCTCAAGCAGCGCTTGGACTACGAGGGGAGGGATTGCATTGCGTCGTCAACGTGCTGGCCGTATTGTTCCTCCCGGCTGGCACGCTGTCCCTGACTCTTCTTTGCTAGAGTCATTGTGGTTCAATCCTTACCTTGCTGTGAGTACTGTGTTTGAACCACTCCATCAGGCGCTCCCTCAGGGCGAATGGCCAGTTTTCGGGGGTGCTTCTGAGGTTTTTGGGGGGTTCAAGGCTTCCACGTGCGGACTTCAGGGCCCTAAACCCCAAACCCTAAACCCTAAACCCTAAACCCTAAACCCTAAACCCTAAACCCTAAACCCTAAACCCTAAACCCTAAACCCTAAACCCTAAACCCTAAACCCTAAACCCTAAACCCTATAAGCCCTAAATCCCCCTCAGCCCGTGTGCCGGAGCTCCTCTCTGGCAGGCACCGCCTCCCGCGCGCTGGGATCCGGCCGCTCCGCGGCCGGAGGCTCTTCACGAAGCGCCACTGGGCCCAGACAAGCACAGAAGTTTCAGGGCTTGGGGTTTAGGGTTTAGGGCTTAGGGTTTAGGGTTTAGGGTTTAGAGTTTAGGGTTTAGGGTTCAGGCCACGTTGCTTAGTAGGGATATAAGTAGGGGAATTTCACTTATATCCCCATGTGGGGTACTTCTAGCCCTGCTTATAACTACCCATGAACCTCCAAGTATGCAGGGACCGAGGACATGGTGGTCTATTCCTCCTCGTTAAGTTACAAAAGTTTGGTGGGGCCTGGGGTGTTGGAATCTCGGGCAGTAGAACCCTACGCCCCCAACCACAAACCCTAACACCCCAATCCCCTAACACCCTAAACCCCTAAACCCCTAACTAGCCTAACACCCTGAAGCCCTAAACCCCTAACATCCTAAAGCCCTGAACCCCTAAACCCCTAACACCCTAAACCCTAAACCCCTAGCACCCTAAAACCCGTAACACCTCCAAAACCCCTAACACCCCAACACCCCCGACACCCTGAAAACCCCTAACACCTAACACCCCCAAAACCCCAACACCCCGAACACCCCTAACACCCCACCAAACCCCTAACACCTAACACCCCCAAAACCCTAACACCCCCAAAACCCTAACACCCACCCCTGCAACCCCTAAAGCCCCATCAGGCTTCTGCAGGCAGAGGCGCTTCTGGGCGACACCCTCACCTTCCACGCACTGAAGGACCAAGTCCTGATCGCCTCCCAGGTGGGTTTGGGGTTTAGGTTTTTTGGGGTTTGGGGGGTTTTAGGGTTTTAGGGTTTTAGGGTTTAGGGTTTTAGGGTTTTAGGGTTTTAGGGTTTTAGGGTTTTAAGGGTTTAGGGTTTTAGGGTTCTAGGGTTTTGCGGGTGTTGGGGGTTTGGGGTTTTAGGGTGTAGGGTGCTTCTACACAGCAAACTTGGTAAGGTTCAGAGGTTTAGGGTTTAGGGTTTAGGGTTTAGGGTTTAGGGTTTAGGGTTTAGGGTTTAGGGTTTAGGGTTTAGGGTTTAGGGTTTAGGGGTTAGGGGTTAGGGGTTAGGGGTTAGGGTTTGAGCGTTTTCCGTGTTTCGTGAGATCTTTTTCTTGGGGCTTGTAAAGTTGGCAGGTGGAAAGCTGACATGAAAGTGCCCTAAGCACCTGGCACTCTCATCCCTCGAAACCGGACATATTGAATACCGAAGCACCCGAAAGCACCAGAATCCACCTCAAGTCCCTCAGTTCAGAGTCCATAATATGTATGTATTGATCTATATATGCGTAATGTATATGTGTGTATATCTACATATATATATATATATATATATATATATACAATGTTATACGTATGTATGTGTGTTAGGCATTCCGGGCCCCTCCGTTTCTGCTCAGGCGGACGAGCCCAGCGAAGGTTGGAAGGTCACTCGGGTGGCCTCGCACGAGGTCGTCTTGGTGGCAGCTTGGCTGCCTCAATGGGTGTAGTGTTTGCGGTTTAGGGTTTAGGGCCTAAAGTTTAGGGTTTAGGGTTTATAGGGTTTAGGGTTTAGGGTTTAGGGTTTAGGGTTTAGGGTTTAGGGTTTAGGGTTTGCTTGCTTGCTTGCGTGCGGACTGTCCGAAGTCTGCATAGAGTGCGTCCGTTGGACCTAGTAAGCAGACATTTGCACGGAACCCGTGTTTTTTTTTGTTGTGGGTGCTTTTTTGCT